CTGGATGATCTGGTGAACTGGAAAGTGACCTGAGATGAAATGATGGGAATTAGAGCTATAGAAATAAACTGAATTGAGTTCAATTGAATACTTTTTTCCAACTACATAGACCTTAATAAAACTATTTAAAAAACAGCCAAATATTTTCATTTGTTATATTGTGCATAAATCAAAGCGTGCTTTTCTTCCAGAGGTGTGGGAACTGCAGACCAATGTTTTCATCTGTGTGTTTCTGTAGAAATAACCATCAGTGCTGCTGTAGCACTGGGCTGTTTCTAGTCAGCGACAAATTAATCATTTTTGTTCTCTGTTGCATATTTGCTGCACAATAAGCAGCTCATTAGCTTAGCATCGTCATACTGATTGGTTTCTTTAACTTCATTAAATGTTGTCGTGTGTTTAAAGGCTCCTTTTCTGTTTCCAAACAGGCAGCAACATAATCGCTTGGATTAGCAACAAGATGAAGACAACCACAGAAGGTAGTATCTGTGAATGGAAATTTGTTTTTTTCCTCTACGATCCTAAAATAAAAAATCATTGGAGAATAAAGACGTCTAATATTTGTATCTGTGTGCTTCGGTACATTGACTGAAAACTGAGACAGATGCTCTTAAGATGATGCCTCAGTGGAACCAGGACAAGTTTGACCTGTTGAGACCTGCTTTATGCTCCTGATACTGTGCAGCATGCAGGAAGGGAGGGGGGATCTTATTACGGAAGAAGAAAATAAGTTGATTTCAAAAATGGTTGGTGGGGTCAAAGGAGTATTTTAGAAATACCCGAGTTAACAGCTTGGCTGACCTTGAATACGTTTTGCGATGCCTCTGATAAAGGTTATTGTGAACTAGTAGCCCAGAGGCCAATAAGTTTCTTTCAAGCTCTCGACCTGCAGCCCTGATTTTCCTCAGCTCAGAGGTAAACCAGGCGGCCGAGCGAGGAAAGGAAACTGCCCTCTCTTTAACAGTAACATGGCGGTCCAAGATGGCGGTGAGGCTCGTGTTATAAAAGTCCACTGCATTAAGGAGGAACCTGAAATAATTGTTCAGGTCATATATATATATATATATATATATATATATATATATATATATATATATATATATATATATATATATAAACCTCAGCACCATGCTAAATTTACAGTTAATGTGAGGTCAACCAGTTA